CTCGCTCCGCGCAAGGGGGATGATCGCACCACGTTGTGTTAAAATGGTCAAGCACCCTCGAGGCGGTTACACGGTGCTTACAACTGTATCTGGAAGTGAAAGCACCAGAAAATAAATTATTCATACGCAGCTGTCATACGTACGCAAGGAAGTAAGCACAAGATGCCGAAAACCCTTAGCAGGATGCAGCGCACCCTTCATGCGACTCGCCGAATATCTCACGGCGCTTCGCGCTTGGTGATGTGAGAGCCTGGTCCGGTGAGAACCCNGAACGCGCGACATTGTCGACAACCCGCAAACTTGCGAGGCCCTTGTTTCCCGACGGACCTCGAACCTTGTGAGCGTGTGCGCCGGACGTTCCAAGAGTACCAAATCGGACCCAGTCGGACAGATATAAAGACACCAAAACCTACGCCAGCACTCGGGGCCAACCTTCGTTCCAGGTAAGGCCAACACGGCCTCACTTGTCGAAATTTTCCAGCTCTCCGTGCAGCCCCGCAAATGTATGCGCGGGTAAACTGGCCAACAGAATACAATCAACATACCCAACCCCCCATCCCTTCCCGCCCGAAGACCCCCGCAAGGAAGCGTGCGAAGACAGCACGCCCGAAACACACCCCACCCCACCGCGCCGCTCGCTCTTGTGCGTGTAGGCGACGAGCAAAATAATAACAACCAAAAAAATACCGCAAACAACAGAGCTATGGTAGTCGACAAAAAGCACGCAAAATGACACGGCCTGACACTACAACACACTCTTAGGTTTCATCACGTGTACACAGTCATTCTATTGTGGACTGTCTGGTATTACCGCTTTAAGACATGTGGGGCAACGGTTGCGCATAAGCAACCACTTGCGGATGCACGCACCGTGGAAGGCGTGGAGGCAGGGGAGCACAGAGATCTGTCCCCGGCCAGCAAAAACATGGGGGTGCGAATTTCACACGCATTTCCGACGGCCGCAAGCATTGCCGAATCCAGGGTTCCCAGGCGCCGCACGACCCGGTGACAGCCAAGAGCATAGGGCAGCGGCAACAGACCAGGGGCGGCAGAGGCAGCGGCAGCGACGACAGTAGCATGGGCAGTGGACGGGTATCGCACGGAAGGATGTGAGTGGGTTGGTACAGCCTGCAGGAAGGGCGCACGTGGACACCACAGCACGCTCGAGTACTAGCCGCCACACCACAGGTCAGTACGCACACGCAATTGCACAATCACGTCGTACGTGCACGCCTTCAGACTTGATGGGCTGTTGTAGGAATACAGACCGTGATGACCCCTCTACCCAATAGGTGCGAGAACCATTGCACACTCGCTAGACCGCGAACTTAAGAGCTCAAGCTCTCCACAACCGAAAGGGGGTAGTCTCGTAAGCGTCGCGCCAAACCAGGAGGTTTCCGCACCTTCTCGGTCCGGGAAAATCGATCTTTGACACGTCGGTCTTGGCGTGAGCTCGCACAACGACTACCGATATCCTCGCGGAATACAAAACGGGTCGCAACCTCGTGTTTCGCGAAATGCCTTGCATGGCGACCATATTCCCTCTTGACACTAGGGGTCGCTAAATTGTGCCAGCCGCTGTGACAATCTTTCGAGGTCGTTCGAGCTTTCTGCTTTTGACCGTGCCGGAATAAGGCAGAAGGCTAATGGTGCCACGGACAGCGCAGAGTCCCAACAGAGGCACCAAAAAGAGACGCGTGTGTCGGAAACACAAGACTGGAACAATGAATGCCCTACAATCAGCAGACCTAATTCCTGAACTTGATGAGAACAACCGCATATTCGGCACGTAAATTTGTCGCATCACACCACCGCGAGATTGATGAAGACCACGCACGCAGAGCAAATACACGCGCGTCTCTCTTACACCAACAACCCCTCCCAGATCACGTAAATAGCCTTCAGAAGCTTCTGAACCTGACGTATGTTCATTGGGCAGCCGGTTCTGTAGCGCGGTCAATGCTAATCAAAACTTACCACGCACGCGCGCGATTGCGCTCCCATTGACGCCTCATGGGGTCCCAGATCATGCCCTTCAATACAAGCATGATATGTTTTCATTCCCACCGAGACGGAAGCCAATTCACTGAACACCAGGTTATGGCAGCAGACAGTGCCAACTACAAAAAAAACACAAAACACACGCGCGCAGAAGCCACGTACCTCGTCGCCGAGCCCGAACTCCTCCATGCAGACCGCGCAGCTCTCCTCCAGCCTTGCCCCGGCCGCCGTCCCGGCCTGCAGCGCCGCCTCCATCGCCTCCTCCGCGAGACCCTTACCCCCGGCGCAACACCTTCCCCCTTCCCCGCCCGCCTCGTCCAAAGCCAGCAGCGTCTCGAAGTCGTTCTCGTCGATGTCCTGGAACTGCAGAGCGCGGATGGCGTCGCTGACAGCGGCGGCGCCTTCGGCGCCGCCGCCGCGGTCGCCCCCCGCCGCCGACGCTACCGCCGGGTGGTTGCTGTCGGGGCTGATGTACCCCGCGGCGGCGTTCCTCCGCGCGGAGGAGGCGCTGCTGCGGCGTTGCACGCGGCGGCGGGACGCTCGCCTCTCAGCTCCGGCCTCCTCTCGGGCGGCCAGGCGCAGAGCTAGGAGTTCGTCCTCCCTGGCCTGGGCCTCCTGCTCCTGCTTCGCGATTCGTCGCGCGGCGGCCTGGGGGGATTTGGGGGGGGGGGCGGGGCGTACTGATGTCGTGCATGCCTTAGACCATTGACCACGGGTCCTCGAGTATCATGGCCGTGTGTGCTAGTTGGCAAGTTGGCAAGAGAATGCTTTGGGGTCCAGGCAACAAAGGCGCCCGTGGGAGGAAGCCAGCCCGTGGGGGAAATTGTTCATGAGTGATCGGAGAGGGAACTTGTCATGAGGGCGGTGTCGTTCCGATGCACTCACCCGGATTCAGCAAGAGCACTGTCGAGGTTTGCCGTAAGTTGGTAATCGACGGGACATCCATGAAACGGGAGACGGGGGTTTTTCAAGCGAAAACACACTCCGCACGTCAGCTCACGCGCTTATCTACCACCACGATCAAGCATCCAGAGTTTGTCGAGTGGCAACGCTTACGCAAACTACACCACCGCGCAAGCATGCAACACACACGCCCTTCGCTTGTCCCACCTCGTCCTCGTCAATGCCCTGGGGCGGTTCCGCCGCCGCCGCCGCCGCCGCCGCGCTCGCCTCTCTCGGCCGCAAGACCTGCGATGACGCCGACGACAGCAGCCGGCTGTCCCCCTGAGATCGTCCATCGTTAACCAGTGGCGTAGAGGGGGAGTCCCACCGACCCGGCCCTCGTCCGCCCCTCCCGGGCCCAGCGGGAGGCATGACGCCGATCATGCCTCGCCTTCGGGCCACGGCGCGAGGGGCGCTGAGGCTACTAGGCGGGGACCGGGACCCGGTCAGGGTGGGCCTCTCACCAAGGATAGCACGATAGCTGGCCTCGTCGAAGAGCGCGTTCGCCAGCCGCTCCTCGTCGAGGGGGCAGGATCCGTTCGCGGCGGGCACGTTGTCGAGGATTGCGCGATAACTGGCCTCGTCGAAGACAGCGTTGACCAGCTGCTCCTCGTCGGCGTCTGACGGGCCGCCCCTGTTGCGAACCGCCGCCGCCGCCGAGGACCTCCGGCGCTCTTCGCTCGAGCCCGAGCCCGAGCCCGCCGCCACGAGCCGGCGTCGTACGTCTAGCGCCGTCCGTCCCGCGGAGCGGAGGTGCTCGGGGCTCGCGAGGCGGGCGGAGACCAAGCTGCCGGACGGGGACCGATGGCCGCTTGCAATCCGCCTGCTGGAAGCCGCCGCCGCCGCCGCTACCGCCCCACGTGCCGTGGTCGAGGGCTTCCCCGACGCGCCTGCTGCTTCCTGCGCAGCTGCGTGGCTGCTTGCGCCTTCCCCCGATCTGTTCGTCAGCCAGTCGCCGCTGGATGCACCATCAAGCCACGCCGCTGATGTCGGCGGCCTCTCGCGCCTCATAGCCTCCACGCTCGAAGTCGCGGTTTGCTGCTGCCGCCGCCGTTGCCGCTCCACCGGCGAAGGCTTCCCGCTTTCGAACTGAAAGATCGCCGCGTCCTGCCGCCCTGCGGCAGAAGATGCCGCGCTCGCCTCTCCTCCGCCCGCTTTGCCGTAGCCTTCGACACCCTCTGCCCCCCCGGCTCTAGAACCCGACATCGCCACTCGCAACAACGACGCAGCCCTCCGCTTCCTGTCTTCCGCTGCCGCAGCAACATCGCCCCGAGTCACCGGGGCTAGCCCCAGCGACACCGCCATCTCCGTAGCGGTGGCCTTCGGCGGAGCCGCACCCCACGCCGCCACCGCCGCCGATTGCGCCCCACCAACCCGCGTCCCCCGCTCCACTCCGGTGTTCCGGCCCGCCCGCCACAGCCCTCCGACGCCCGCCGCCGCCGCCGCTTGGGAACGGCAGCTTCTCACGGACCCGCTGCTGCCCCGAGGGATACCCTGGTTGCGGTACACGCCCCCGCCGCTATTATTCTTGTACCCACTCCCCGCGCTGCCGGCGGCTCCTCCCTCTCCTCCCGTTGTTGCTCCCGCTCCCGTTCCCTCTCCCGCTCTCGCTCTCGCTCTCGCTCCCGCTCGCGCTGCCGCTGCCGCTTCCACTTCCGCTGCCGCCGCCGCGGCTACTGGCCTCCCGGCATCGCGTGTTTCGATTCGTTCGGGACTACTATTTCCGAGCGGGGTCGCCTCCAGGGAAGACGGCTGTCCCTCCGTTCGTGATTCCGCGGGGCCCCCACTGTCACCATCACCGGCAGCACCGGCGACATCGGCGGCGCCCCCGCTACCGCTTGTCACGAGCGCGGAGGAGTGCGGCGGGAACCCCGAGAGCGCGCTGATGACTAAAGTTAGGGCCGACGCCGTCACCGCGTTGGCTCTGTCGCAGGACTGGACCGTGTCGAGCACCTTGGAGTGGTAACCGGTCTCGGCGCTAAAGGGGTCGTTCAGCTGTGCCTGGGGGAGGGGGCAGGAGGGGGGGGGGGGGGGGGG